GGTCCATTAATTATTTACTTAGGGACTGTGATCTAATCAAAGAAAAATTCTCTGCCAACCACTTCTATTCAAAATACTCAGCATTGCGATAGCCCCTGTATTATAAAGCAGAAGAATTGATGCTTTTGAACAGTGATGTTGGAGAAGACTCTTGAGAGTCCCTTGGACTGCAAGGAGATCCAACCAGTCCATCCTAAACAAGATCAGTCCTGGGTACTCACTGGAAGGACTGATGTTGAAACTGAAACTCTAATACTTTGGCCACCTCATGTGCAGAGCTGACTCATTTGAAAAGACCCTGATGCTGGAAAAGATTGAGGGCAGAAGAAGGGGACGACAGAGAATGAGATGGTTGGATGGCATCACCGAATCAATGGACATGGGTTTGGGTGGACTCCGGGAGTTGGGATGAACAGGGAGGCCTGGTGTGCTGCAGTTCATGGGGTCACAAAGAGTCGGACATGACTGAGCGACTGATTTAATTAATTATACTGTCTATTTACTTTGTAGACACTAACAAACAGTGTCTTCTAAACAATTTCTACATATGGCATGGCATTCCTACTTAGACCATAAATCCACTGATATGGGAACAGCTGGAGCTGAATCTGCTAGTAAAACTATTGACTATTCCTTGAGGTCAGGTGTTTTTCCTACAGTGACCCAGGGAGAAACATAATAACCATCCCCACTTCACAGAGAAGGAAATAAGCTCAGAGAGGTCTGACTACAGACACACAAATTTAAAACAGTGAATACGGGTTCTGAACCCAGAATCTGGCTACAAACTCTTGATACAACAATGTCTTCTTGATATGTATATATACAGTAACAATCATATGCATATAACTAGCATTCATTTAGTGCTTACCATACAGCAGGTCCTATTAAATGCTCATAATGACTCTAATAAACATTATAAACACTTTATCCCCATTTTGCCAATGAGGAAACCAAAGCAGAGAGAGGTTAAGAAACTTCTGCGAAGTCATACAACCAGAAAGTAACAGAACCGGGATTCAAATGCAGAACACTCTGAAGATACCATTTGTAACCACTACACTGCACACAACTCTGAAGTTGTGTATAAGTCACAGTATAAGAGTCAAGTAACAACAAAAACCATACCTAAACATACCTGCAGCCTCATGCTTAATTTTTTTAAATATTATTTTATTCTTATGTTACAGTTTTCTAAGTGCATTTGTTTTAGGTAAAAACTTAAAGAAGGGATTCTGTGGCAATATAAAATTACAAAAAACTTTTTATTAAGAAATAGTAAAAACAAAACTGTAAAGCAGTGGAGTAAAATGAGGTTTAAGAAATGGACAGATTTAATTCACTTTCTATTTCCTAGAACAAATGTGAACATTCAGGAAAAAAAAATAATAAGAGCATAAGAGGTCCATTTTAATAATTCCATTTTAAATAGTGGCGAAATCATGGAGATAGTAAAACACTGTAATGTCAGTTCCAAACTGATCAGCTCTTAACCCAAATATAATGCCACGTACACTAGAGAAAGTAAAGATAATGAGTTGTTTAAAAGCTTTAAGTGTCCCTCTACCTATGAAGATAAGCATTTGAATAACAGAAACAAAAAGAAGGCAAAGAAATGCTTTTAAAGAAGATAGGTCCAAAAAAAAAAAAACCCTATCTCTTCTCAGAGAGTATGGCCCATCCACATTAGAGAAAGGATTAAGCAGATACATTCAGCTTTTCTAACAGATTTTCTTTCTCTAAGGCTTCAATACCCCTCTCACATTCACTCAGATAATCACATTAGTTTTGTCATTAAAAGCTCCCTTTTCATAGAATGCACCTAAACCGCTTAAACCACCCAGAGAGGTCGAATTCATTATCAAACACCAAGACAAACAGAAGAGATTTTCCATCTTATGTCTTCTTATTTCACTGTATCTATCTGCATGCTCAGGAAACTAAGCCAAAAGATGTGGTGAGCTATCAGCTGAAAAATGATTCCAAAATAAAAAACTATAGTATCCTTTACCACTGCTCTTGAAGCTGAGAACTGAGAGCTAGCAGTTTTTATGCTGACAGAGCAGTCAAATGACAGAGGGGTTTTCTATTTCCTTTTCTCCTCTTCCTTGTGTTCTATCGGCCAAGGCCGTGATTATTTCTGCATGAATGTTGCAGCTTCTGTTAACAGTAAACAAAAGCAAATGGAGTCTGAGTGTGCATGGCTCAAAGATAAATTAGAAACAATGATACTTGAGTTGACGTGGAAAATGGCATTCAGACACTCCATATGGATACTTCAGAACCGTACAAGTCCAGGCAGCACTGGAAATCACCTGTATTTTTTCATAACTATTACATATCATCTCACCATCCTAAGCTTGAGTTACAGACTCAGAAAAGGACCGCTGTTTGTTAGTCCTTTAAAAAGGAGGAAGTGTATCAGAGGGAGGAGGAGTCCTGGTTAAATGGAACTATCCAAGTGAAAGAGCAGTCTCCAACTGGGTAGTGTTCCAGGGATTAGGGGGTTGGGAGAACAGAGAGGGGGTCAAGAAAGGAGAAACAGAATGAACAGTGAAAGAAAGTGATCTGAAACTAAAAGTTTGGGAGGCAGACATGTAGTGGAAAAATTCTGAAATCAGATAGGATAAAATCAGAGATAGATGGAGGCAAAGAAATTTCTCAAGCAAGAGGCAAAGAGAGGTTACTTTTGGTGGTTTGCAGGCAGGAAACAGATTTATAAACATACCATAAACAATCAAGAGTTCCTTAATAAATCAAAAGAAAGGATAAAGTTGGTAACAAAACAAAACAAAAAAAACCTGAAGGCAATGACAAGAACGAGTCCTAGATAAAAGAAGTAAAAGGTGATTATGAGGCAAAGGCACAAAGTTACTTTGCTTTAAAAATAAACTTTTAAAATATATATATGCACACAAAAGATAAAAAAGACTGTGCTAAATCAAAAACACATGACAAAATATTTGAGATATACTATACTAATTTTGAGTGATTACTTAGGAGAGAGAAAAGACAAAGCTATATATTTACAGTTAAGATTCAATAGCAAAATATCTCAAAAGGAATATTAAAGATGCACAGACAAAACCAGTAAGGCTGTTTACTGTTCCAAATCATAAATGAACATTAAAAAGATGTATTCCTCTGGCACTTTTCCTAAGTTGGATCAGCAAACTACAGGCCCCAGGCCAAAGCCAGCCACTGCCTGTTTTATAAATACTGTTGGAACATAGCCTTCCTCATTCATTTAAATATTGCCTGTGGTCACTTTCTTGCCAAAGCTAAAAAGCTGAGTAGCTGTCACAGAAACTATACAGCTCACAAAGCCTAAAATATTTACTATCTAGTCCTTTACAGATAAAGTTTGCCAACCCTTATTCTAAATAACAAGGGAAGTCCCCATATGTTTTTATCATCTGACAACTCATTCTCCAAATGGGCATAAAGATGTAAATGTAATTCTTACTCTGTACACAGAGTATAAAGTTAAGTCTGATAGTTGTCACACTGCGGCCAGCAATCTACCCAATTCTTCCCTCAAGTATTCCATTAATAGTTTAGTGCAATACGTGAGAAGATCATGGGCTCTGAACAATGGTAGACTTGCATTCAAAACCACTTCTACTACCTCTTAGTAGAGCTTAAATTTCCTCTCCATAAAACTGGAATTATAACTCTTGACTGTGAGGATTAAATGAGATAGTATACATGAAAGTGCTTTATAAATATAAAATAATATAGAAAGATAAGACATTATTAGCACCTATAAATTTATGGAGACTAATGGTTTCAGATTTAGTTTTTTCTCATTATTTTGATATAGGTTTTCTTACCATGTGAAAGAGATCTACTCTTTAAAATAATTTTGTAGTGTCAAAATTCAATTTAATTCAAATACACATTTATCTCTGGTTTGCTATGTGCAAGATACCCACTGGCCATTCTACTTTTTAGATGAAGAACAATATCTCTAGTAGCAAATGATGTTGTTTCATTTGGGTTACAAAGTTTTAAGCAAGGTGTGCATTTAATAATTCAAAAGGACAGCTAAATTAAAATTGCTTTTGAAATCTGGTTCTTACATTACCAATTCTCTATACATTTACAGCACTTGTTCTAGCTGTAGAATCTGTTATATTCTCTGAATTTAATAACCATCAAGTTGGCCAGCCTTTGTTTCTAAAACTATGAGGAATGCTCTTTACAAAGGAATGCTTAACAAGAATACATACAATAAAGAATTCTGGCACGAAAAGAACTTTAAATTTTATTGTGTCATGTTTCTCTAAATTTTCCAGAGCGTTTTCACATCCAGTATTTTATTTGATCCTCAGCACAGCCCTACTGAGAATGTATCATTATCCCATTCTGCAGAGGAAGACACGGAGGCCTAAGAAGAGGAGAGACTTGCCAAGACCACACAGCTGGAAGAGGGTGGCTCTGGATAAGGATCCAGAGTCAGCGCTCTTTGTACTCCACCTTGCTGTATGTACGTAGCCTTTACGATGTCTCTAGTACTTAGAATACATTTAGCAGTTGACTGAATCATAGCACCATGATAGCAGCTCCCATTTATGAAGCACTGACCATGTATTAGGTATAGCTCTATGTGACTCACATATACAAATTGTATGTATGAAGTATACAGCACAGAATTGAGCACATAGTAACTATACCATTAACAGCAACTATTGGTCTTATTTCTAAGAGTTAGTCTTTAGTTCTAAGAGTTGTAATTCATACAACTCTGTAATCTATGCATTTTACTCCATTATTTAAATGAGGAAACTGAAGTTCAGAAGAGCTAGGTAACACGTCCAAGTTTGAGTAAAACCAGGATTCCTACCTAGGTTTGAGATTCGACTAATTCCAGAGTCCCCTTGTCACTGGGACTTCCTCTGATGCTAAAAGTCAAAGAATGCACCAAAAAAAAAAGGTGGGGGGCGGTGAAGAGAGAGAAGTATGTTATTAAAAGTGATGAAAGGATATCTTCCTGTTACCTTGACAGGCCAAGCAGGCAAAGGCTGTAAAAAGTTGGACTCGTAAGGGTAGTCCACCATTGCCAGATTCACCCAGGTTTCAGAGATCCAGTCTTTCAAATGCTGAACATCCTGCCATTTTGTTAACGGAGTGCATAAGTGAAGGGCCTCAGAAAGCCAACGCAAGCCAGGGCCTGAGAATAGAGTCACATTGTTGGAATCTAAAAAGCACCACTCAACAGAAGGGTTTTACAGATCATTTATTCTTCATCTGTGTTTTAGAAAGCTCAGTCTCCTATGCAGTTTCTCCAAAAAGGTTTTTTCAACATTGAACAAAATATCTTTAGAGCAACTGGTTAATCTCATGATAGATAAGTTGCCTATCTTCATGGGGCTTACCAGAGTTAGTATTCTCAATCACTGTCATGTGTAAATAAACAAATGAAACACTATAGAGCAAGGAGAATGCATAAACTACACCTAAATAAAACAAATGGATTTATCCCACAGTGTTGAGTAAAAGACAGCAGAGACAAAAAAATACATGCTATGCAATTCCGATTATTAAAAAATTTAAGAGTAAGCAAAGTTAATTTACGGTTCTAGAATTCAGGATAGCAACTGGTTTGATAAGCACAGAGGTAGTATCTGCAAAGAGCCAGAAGGGATTTGGGGGTGGGGGTGGGGGGATTTCCTGATCTGCATGCTGAATACACTATGTATTCACTTTGCAAAAATTTACCAAGCTGTATATCTTGATTTGTGTACTTTTCTATATGTTATACTTAAATATGTAAAGTGAAATAAAAGAAAGTGTTAGTCGTTCAGTCATGTATGTTATATTTTTTAAAAAGTTTACTGAAAAAGTAGAAAGTGTTAGATTTAGCACTTAAAAGGTACAAAAAAAAACCCCAAAATATGATTCCATTCTCTTAATTAAAGCTTACCCTTTTTTGCAAGTCGACTAATGGCATCCCAGGACCTGCGGATACTCTCTGAACAATTTGGGCCACTTCTGCCAAAATCTGTAGTTACAATCTTCATAAATGTGTCACAAGGCACCAGATCATTAAACTGCCAGATGGGGGCAGAGGATGCAAGAGCTCTAAATGGTAAGAAGACCGAAAGAAAGAGAAAAGAAAAAAATGTAACTCACATAATTCAAGTTTTAAAATTGAAACTGATACTGAACAAGAGTGGTGAGAAAAATCTACAACTCTTAGTGAAATAGAAATTAAAAATCTCAGTACAATAGAATAGGATATGTTTTACCTCCCCCCGCCAAAAAAAAACCACTCTATGTTCACTTTGCCAATCACTAAGAAAGAGCTCACATCCAACATAAATGAATTTACCCAACCACCAAATGAGGATACTTCATCCTGAACCAGGCTGCAAGCATGCCACCATAAGAGCCCCCAAGGGCAATGACAGGTTGATTTCTAGCTCCTGGGATTGTTCTTTTCAAGTATTTGATTAACTTTGCAAAATCAGCCAGAGCTTGTTCTGTTGTCAGAAAATTCAAGTGTCTGGAATCCTAAAGAAAAATAACAAAGCACATGGGTATAAATGTGCATATAATAGCAGCTTAGGCATAACATAGATCCAGAAAAAAGCCAGATAAGCTTTTCTCCAAACAGAATTTCTAGGCAACTGAGTTAAAACACCCAGTTAAAGCATTAGCACTGCTAATTTACACTCATGGAAAAGTGATTTCAAGTTTGTGGGAAGAAAATAAGGTATTTTTGCATTCAAATGTAATTTCTATTAAATGCTATTTACCAAAGACTTTGCTGAAGTAGTAGAAACAACAAAGACAAATCGTAAGTAACATTTAACAACAGATGTGGTAGCATACAACACTAATTTTAACAGACAACTATTCTGTTATAATTTTTATTTCAAATCTTGAAACATTTACAAAGGCTACCACATAAAGCAAAGGTAAACTAAATCCTGTGAAAAATGGAAGAATAATCAGTAAAAATAAAACATCCTTCCTCATCAGAAAGATTATTATGTCTGATAAACCAACAACTGGAATAAGTCAGCCTGCCTGTTGTACAACTATAAAATTGGAGTTAAGGAAAAAAAACAACATATGGAACAACCTTTTTCAGACATTGGAAAAGCAACACAAGACTTTGATTCCTGAGAGAAGAATGTTGTTGTTCAGTTGTAAAGTTGTGTCCGACTCTTCGCGACCCCATGGACTGCAGCATGCGAGGCCTCCCTGTCCCTCACCATCTCCCTGAGTCTGCCCAAGTTCATGTCCATTGAATCAGTGATGCCATCCAACTATCTGATCCTCTGTCACCCTCTTTTCCTTCTACCTTCGAACTTTCCCAGCATCAGGGTCTTTCCCAGTGAGTCAGCTGTTTACATCAGGTGGCCAAAGGACTGGAGTTTCAGCTTCAACATCAGTCCTTCCAAAGAGTATTCAGGGTTGATTTCCTTTAAGACTGACTGGTTTGATCTCCTTGCTTTACAAGGGACTCTCAAGAGTCTTCTCCAGCACACAGTTCAAAAGCATCAATTCTCTAGCATTTTTAAAGTCTAGCTCTCACATCTGTACATGACTACTAGAAACACCATAGCCGTGACTTACTTACTCAGGAAGTAAGTTCCATGATCATCTAGTTCTCTGCCTAGGGAGAATTTCCTCACTGCAGTGTAGGAAGGTGGAACTCAAATGGAGTCCTGCTAAGCTGAGAAGATTAAAGAAGAGTCTCCTTTTAAAAGCTGAAGCCTAATTCTTCCCCCTTTGAACTTGGTTTGGACTTAGTGACTTTGTTCTAACACAAATAGAATGTGGCAGAAATGATATATGACTTCCAAAGTCTGGTCATAAAAAGCACTGCAGGTGGACTTCCCTAGTGGCCCACTGGGTAAGACTTCACCTTCCAAAGCAGGGGGTGTGGGTTTGATTCCTGCTTGGAGAGCTAAAAGCCCACATGTACATGCATGCTAAGTCGCTTCAGCTGTATCCGACTCTTTGTGACCCTGTGGACTGAAGCCCACATGACTTGCAGCCAAAAAACCAAAACATAATACAGAAGCGATATTGTAATAAATTCAGTAAAGACTTAAAAAAAAAAAAGCACTGCAGTTTCCTTGCTCTCTTAGATGGCCAACTTTGAGGGAAGCTAGTTGTCATGTCATGAAGCCACTCAAGTAGGCCTTTGGAAAAACCCAAGAGAGGACAAACTAAAGCATCTTGCTAACACCCAGCACCAATCTGTCACTCATGTGGATCCTCCATATAAGCAGAGAGGGTCCTCCAGCCTCAGTCAAGCCTTCAGATGACTGAAGCACTAAATGATGTCTTAACCTTATGAGATCCCCTGAAACAGAACCACCTAGTTGAGTCACTCCAAATTCCTTACCCATAGGAACTGGAAAATAATAAATGTTTATTGTTGTTTTAAGCCACTAAAGTTTGAGGTAAATTGTCATGTAGCAACAGATAACTAACACAGCCACATATCCATCAGACTATCCTATTTAACCTTCATATTTTGGTCTCACCACTCTGACTCCTCCCATCACCTGGTATATTTTGGAACCACAGAGGCCCATCTTTCCTCTCTCCTATGCATGTCACTTACTCCTTTAACCTTTCCTCTTATCCAAGATGTATGTTCTCTGACTTCTCTCTCACGGTCTGTCACTATTCTTTACTTTTAGTTTTCATGGCACGATGTATAGTTGAGTGAAATTTTTTCCCAATCCTATGCATTTGCAATATTCCCCCATGCTACTAACAAATTCTGCAAGCACATGAAGGGAAGGAAGCATGGCATAGAGAGCCCTCACCTCCTTTTTCCTAGCAGAGTATGGACCACAAGGAACTAGGAAAGAAGGTTGTGTTTTTATCTGCAACAAACTACTTTTCAATGGTTTCAAAACCTGTCAACTTCCCTAATCAGATAATTATGCAAAATAATAAACTAAAGAATAGAGTTTCCCATGCAATCTAACAAATATCAGCAAATCACTCTGGTTTTCATTTATAACACAAGAACTTTTTATTTATTTATTTATAAGATAAGATAACAAAATTTCTGAAAATAAAAAGTTCTTTCAAAACAGGAAGCCTAGAAAATGACTGACCCAAGTTCCTCTAACTCATATTTCTCCAAAATCATGGTACTGAGATTTCCCTGGTGGTCCATTCACCTTCCAAAGTAGGGTGTACAGGTTCCATCCCTGGTCAGGGAACTAAGATCCCACATGAATTAGGGCCAAAAATAAAACAGAAGTAGTGTTACAAGAAATTCAGTTGAAGACTTAAAAAAAAAGTGATCCACATTAAAAAAAAAAAAGAAAGAAATCTTTTTTAAAAAATGCCTGGTATGTGTATAAAGGTGGTATACATCATGATCCTAGGTAGTGGACAAACATTTTTACTTTAATACTTGTTCTATTTCAATATAACTTAGAAAAAATAGTACATAAAGCCTTTATTAAGAAAGTACTAAGTTTGAAAAGTGAGTTGCTAGAAGAAAAATAGTGAATAATACAGATGGCAAATCCATATAGTCAGAAACACATGGGTAGTAGATAAGTGACTCAGCTGAGGAAAGGGTGTCTTGGCTTATTAAAGCATAGATTTGTGGTCAAGGCCAAAGTTCCCTGAGAGAAAAGAAAGGGTAGGAGGGAATCTAGTGACTAGCTGACCTCTCTGAATCATAGAGATGATCTGTCCTTATTTTATTGAAAAACACCTTACTAAACAAGCATTTGTGCACTCCTAACATTTTTTCCAGTGATAGACCCAATAATTTACATATATAATTTATAAAGAGGATTATTTACTGATATTTTTAAACAATGAAAAGTTCCCTCCAGTCTCCACATTCTTAGATTAAGATTTACCTGGCAAAAGCTAGCCTCATCACATTGAGTTACAGACTGATCAATACTATAAAAATGGTAATAATATGATTTTTAAAATAATTTTTAAAATTATTTAAAAAATAATATGATTATTTAAAAATAATAAAATTTTTAAAATTGAGGCTTTAAAATTATATATGAAATTATATATGAAGTTATATATGAAAAGGTTTCAAATTATATATGAAAAGGTTAAATACCAGTTACTGAAATTTCAGGCAGTCAAGTTAAAGATATCATTTTTCTTACAGTGCAACATGTAATTAGAAAATGTTCTAAACCTAAAAGACACACTTACCGAGAAGGAGTCAGCACCAAAGGGTAGGGACTCTCCATAGTACCGATGTTCAGCAAACACCAACATGGCTTTCATTTCCTCAGCTATGTCCCACATGAACCCCTAGAAGGAATTGATAAATTCACAGGGTAAAATTAGGATGTAAAAAATGTCTTAATTTTTTTTGCAACTCATATGAAATGGATGTTAAACCATACCAAAAAGAGTTCTCTGAGAATCTGGACAATTCATATTTGTGCTACAGATAAATTATATAACTGTTTCATTGTTGCACATCCATCTCACACTGTATCAGAGTGAAACAATTCAAAATAAGACCACCGTGCACAACTACCAATCATTCCAACTCTCCTTATTCTGACACTCTAACCTCAGAATCAACATTATGTCTACAATAGCCTTCAAACTGCACTGTATCCCAAAGAATATAGGAAAGAGCAGGATAACTAAGCTATCTGCCTACTCACAAATAACTTTTATTTATAACATAAAAGACAACAGTACAAATAAACATACTGGACTCCCCTGGGTTTTGTATTAATCTTATATACATGAAGATAAATAATAGTTAACAATAGCTAGTATTAACTGAGTGCTTACAACTCATTAAATACCATTCTAAGCACTTTATATGTATCAATTCACTTAATTATCATAACAATCTAAGAGATGGGTACTTTGATTATTAATCTTATTTACATGAAGATAAATAGTAGCTAACAACAGCTAGTATTAAGTGAGTGCTTACAGCTCATTAAAAACCATTCTAAACACTTTACATATATTAATTCACTTAGTTATCACAATCTAAAAGATAGGCACTTTGATTATCTCTACTTCACAGGCAAGGACACAGTTTAAACAACCTGTGACAGTCACAGAACGAGAAAGCGGCAGAGCCAACATTCAAGCACATACCACCTAGCTCCAGAACACAATCATCAAGTGCAAACTTCCTTATTTCCACACATAATGCTGGTCATTAATCAACAGCGGCAATTTTTTCACTTACCTAAAGTTCTGACCTCAGAATCCTTCTTAACAAAGCATTCTAGGTGGCCAACGTCAATTAACTAGATTTAGATTTGTTGTTTTTATTTAGTCTTTTCCGACCCCATGGACTGTAGCCCACCAAGCGCCTCTGTCTGTGGGATTTCCCAGGCAAGAATACTAAAGAGGGTTGCCATTTCCTTCTCCAGGGGATCTTGCAGACCCAGGGATTGAACTCAAATTTCCTGCATTGGCAGGCAGATTCTTCACTACTGAGCCACCAGGGAAGTCCCAGATTTAGATTTAGCATAGATTACAACTGCTTGTCATTCCTAGTGCACATTATTGCTTTTTAATGAGCTCTTATTCCTTTACAAAGACTGAGTGAAAGTGTTGGTCCAACTCTTTATGATCCCATGGACTGAAGCCCACCAGGCTCCTCTGTTCATGGAATTCTCCAGGCAAGAATCCTGGAGTGGATTGCCATTTCCTTCTCCAGGCGATCTACCCAACCAAGGGATCAAACCTGGGTCTTCTGCATTGCATATAGATTCTTCACCACTGAGCCACCTGGGACGCTCTTAACAAAGACTAAGACAAAATTTTTGTTTGTCTTGACCAATAAATGAACAATTAAAAGAGCTGTATGCATGTGAGGATGGAGAGTTTAACCTGATATTTGTGATGGTTTCAATTACCCCATTTTCTCTCCTAACACCTTGCTCATTTCCTACCCCTGCCATGTATCTACAGACACTGTACCCCAGCTCAAGATGCCCTCCTCTGCCTGCCCTCTTGCTGACTTGCTGATCACGCCCTCCTATCAATACCAGTCTCAACAGGTATGGATCTCTATTACTTTGTTGCAATATTTGCTTATCTGTGTCTGACCCTACTGGAGTATGAGTTTCTTAACAGTAAGGATCATCCAACAAAGTAATCAGAAGAGCTGACCTCAGGTTTTGAGAGGAAGTAAATGTATTAATTTGGACGTGAGCTACCCCGCGTCCAAGGTCAGGAGCCGCGGCCATGAGGAGCTACCCTGCGTCCAAGGTCAGGAGTGGGGGCCGGGAGGAGATACCCCACGTCCAAGATAAAGAGCAGCCGTAAAGAGATACCCCACATCCAAGGTAAGACAAACCCAAGTAAGAAGGTAAGTGCTGAGAGAGGGCATCAGAGGGCAGACAGACTGAAACCACAATCACAGACAACTAGCCAATCTGATCACATGGACCACAGCCTTGTCTAACTCAATGAAACTAAGCCATGCCATGTGGGGCCACCCAAGATGGTCAGGTCATGGTGGAGAGGTCTGACAGAATGTGCTTCACTGGAGAAGGGAATGGCAAACCACCTCATATTTTTACCTTGAGAACCCCATGAACAGTATGAAACGGCAAAAAGATAGGACACTGAAGATAAACTTCCCAGGTTGGTAGCTACCCAATATGCAACTGGAGAGCAGTGGAGAAATAACACCAGAAAGAATGAACAGATGGAGCCAAAGCAAGAACAACACCCAGTTGTGGATGTGGCTGGTGATAGAAGCAAGGTTCAATGCTGGAAAGAGCAATATTGCATAGGAACCTGGAACGTTTGGTCCATGAATCAAGGCAAATTGGAAGTGGCCAAACAGGAGACAGCAAGAGTGAATGTTGACATTCTAGGAATCAGTGAACTAAAATGGACTGGAATGGGTGAATTTAACTCAGATGACCATTATATCTACTACTGTGGGCAGATATCCCTTAGAAGAAATGGAGTAGCCATCATAGTCAACAAAAGAGTCTGAAATGCAGTACTTGGATGGAATCTTGAAAATGACAGAATGATTTCTGTTCATTTCCAAGGCAAACCATTCAATATCACTGTAATCCAAGGCTATGCCCCAACCAGTAATGCTGAAAAAGCTGAAGTTGAACAGTTCTATGAAGACCTACAAGACCTTTAAGAACTAACACCCAAAAAAGATGTCCTTTTCATTATAGGGGACTGGAATGCAAAGTAGGGAGTAAAGAAACACCTGGAATAACATGCACATTTGGCCTTGGACTGCAAAATGAAGAAGGGCAAAGGATAATAGAGTTTTGCCAAGAGGACACACTGGTCATAGCAAACACCCTCTTCCAACAACACAAGACTCTACACATGGACATCACCAGATGGCCAACACTGAAATCAGATTGATTTATATTCTTTGCAGCCAAAGATGGAGAAACTCTATACAGTCAGCAAAAATAAGACCGGGAGTGGACTGTGGCTCAGATCATGAACTCCTTATTGCCAAATTCAGACTTAAACTGAAGAAAGTGGGGAAAACCACTACACCATTCAGGTATCACCTAAATCAAATCCCTTATGAGTATACAGTGGAAGTGAGAAATAGATTTAAAGGACTAGATATGATAGACAGAGTGCCTGATGAACTATGGACAAAGGTTCATGACACTGTACAGCAGACAGGGATCAAGACCATCCCCAAGAAAAAGAAATGCAAAAAAAGAGCAAAATGGCTGCCTGAGGAAGCCTTACAAATAGCTGTGAAAAGAAGAGAAGTGAAAAGCAAAGGAGAAAAGGAAAGATATTCCCATTTGAATTCAGAGTTGCAAAGAATAGCAAGGAGAGAAAAGAAAGCTTTCCTCAGTGATCAATGGAAAGAAATAGAGGAAAACAATAGAATGGGAAAAACTAGAGAACTCTTCAAGAAAGTTAGAGATACCAAGGGAATATTTCACACAAAGATGGGCTCAATAAAGGACAGAAATGGTATGGACCTAACAGAAGCAGAAGATATTAGGAAGAGGTGGCAAGAATATACAGAAGAACTGTACAAAAAAGATCTTCACAACCCAGATAATCACGATGGTGTGATCACTCACCTAGAGCCAGACACCTGAATGTGAAGTCAAGTGGGCCTTAGGAAGCATCACTACGAACAAAGCTAGTGGAGGTGATGGAATTTCAGTTGAGCTATTTCAAATCCTGAAAGATGATGCTGTGAAAGTGCTGTACTCAATATATCAGCAAATTTGGAAAACTCAGCAGTGGCCACATGACTGGAAAAGGTCAGTTTTCATCCCAATCCCAAAGAAAGGCAAGGCCAAAGAATGCTTAAGCTACCGCACAATTGTACTCATCTCACATGCTAGTAAAGTAATGCTCAAAATTCTCCAAGCCAGGCTTCAACAGTATGTGAACCATGAACTTCCATATGTTCAAGCTGGCTTTAGAAAAGGGAGAGGAACCAGAGATCAAACTGCCAACATCCTCTGGATCACCAAAAAAGCAAGAGAGTTCCAGAAAAACATCTATTTCTGCTTTATTCACAATGCCAAAGCCTTTGACTGTGTGGATCACAACAAACTGGAAAATTCTGAAAGAGATGGGAATACCAGACCACCTGACCTGTCTCTTGAGAAACCTATATGCAGGTCAGGAAGCAACAGTTAGAACTGGACATGGAACGACAGACTGGTTCCAAATAGGAAAAGGAATATGTCAAGGCTGTATGTTGTCACCCTGCTTATTTAACTTATATGCAGAGTACATCATGAGAAATGCTGAGCTGGAAGAAACACAAGCTGGAATCAAGATTGCCAAGAGAAATATCAATAACCTCAGATATGCAAGATGACACCACTCTTATGGCAGAAAGTGAAGAAGAACTAAAGAGCCTCTTGATGAAGGTGAAAGAGGAGAGTGAAAAAGTTGGCTTAAGGCTCAACATTCAGAAAACTAAGATCATGGCATCTGGTCCCATCACTTCATGGCAAATAGATGAAGAAACAGTGGAAACAGTGGCTGACTTTATTTTTGGGGGGTTCCAAAATCACTGCAGATGGTGACTGCAGCCATGAAATTAAAAGACGCTTACTCCTTGGAAGGAAAGTTATGACCAACCTAGACAGCATATTAAAAAGCAGAGACATTACTTTGTCAACAAACGTCCGTCTAGTCAAGGCTATGGTTTTTCCAGTAGTCATGTATGGATGTGAGAGTTGGACTATAACGAAAGCTGAGTGCTGAAGAATTGATGCTTTTGAATTGTGGTGTTGGAGAAGACCTGGCTTTGGCATAAAAGAGCAATCGCACAAGAAAGAAAAAGGGAGACAAGGCAGCCTCAGTTGTTTCACAGAATTACAGAGCAGGAATCTTATGGAAAATAAATTCTGATTTCAGCTGTCACTCATCTAAGGGAAATAGATATCTACGATCTCAGTTCTTACGGAATTATTTTATTTTCAACTAACATATTTAGACTAATAACATCCTAAGGAATGTTATTTCCTAAGGAAATAATTAGAAATATGGAATACAATAACACAACATAATTGGGTTCATACCTTTGCTTTTAATGTAGTTCAGTTCATCATTTACTAAGATCTTCTGAATACCTAGCACTATGTCAGACATTGGCAGTGGAGAAAATATGATTCAGTCCCCACACTAAGGTAGTTCACAGACTAGCTTTCTGGTATAAAGTTGACATTTTCTAGTCTTAGCTCTGGCTGATTAAAAAGGGAAATTTCTTCCTTTCATGTGTCTTAATTAAGTTTTATTAACAGATTTAAGCACTATTATAAAAGAAGATAGAATATATAGTCAGAGAAGCAAGCTAACAGCTACAGTATTTTTTATCCTCACAAATATAAGAAAAATAGTACAACAGGAAAGCTAAAATATATCTACCTTTGCCCATCCTATCTGAAAATCAAACTTGCATTTTTTTTTCTTATTTGCACTGGTTTTGTTTAAATTTTATTAATTAATTCATTTAACAAATATTTATTGAGTACCTGCTATATGCCTAACACAATCTTGGATCTAGGATACACCACTGAACAAGCAAACAAAAATTCCTGCCCTTGTGTTCTCATTCTAGACTGTAATAATAACAATAAACTATATTTATTACATAGTTATGACATCCCTACTCCCATTTGTCCCATATCCTTGTTCAATTGTGAAATAAGCTGGGATATTTTTTCATCTTTTAAAATTCAGTTGTCCAAAAATAGTATCATATTTCATTCTTTTCACATGTAATTCTTTAAGGCTGAACAGGCTTATTGGATGTCTGTATTTATTCTTTTGTAAACTGCTTATTCACATACTTATGCTGTTTCTCTGTTACTTGTGAGTTTACCTTTTTGTTTTTTTTTAAAGAACTTCAGAATTATTTGGTCATATATACTACAAAAGATTTTTTTTCTAGTTGATCATAATAAGAAATTGAGCACAAGAGTTTCACAAATCTGCACATACCGTGTTATTGCAAAACCAGATAATGTCCCCTTCATTACCAGTGTAAAAAAGTATTGATCCACCATCCTCCTTCCAGTAGTTATCAGCTATTAGGTACCGCTGTTTAAAAGTTCTATCAATATTAAATCCAAAGTGATCAACCTATGACAAAAAAGAAACAGACAAGACATATTTCAAAGTAATTAAAAACTAAAAAGTACATATATTATTCTTCCATTCAAATCAAGCTATGCTACAAAAATAAAAAAAAGTTAAAACTTCATTTGGTTTCATTAGTAGTAATATTGATATTATTTTGAAATCATTTTTTCATATTTTAAGATAAAGCAATGTTATTGGTCAAGATTTTCAGCATAAAATATACAATTATAAAATCAAGTAGCCACTTAAAAACACAATAATGTTAAAATTGAATTGGAAATAGTAATATGAACTTAGTAATTTTTTAAATACAGACATTCCTTACTACTTGAATTTTTTTTTTTAATTAATTTATTTATTTATTTTACTTTACAACATTGTATTGGTTTTGCCATACATGGACTTGAATCCGCCATGGGTGTACATGTGTTCCCCATCCTGAACCCTCCTCCCACCTCCCTCCCCATCCCATCCCTCTGGGTCATCCCAGTGCACCAGCCCTGAGCACCCTGTATCATGCATCGAACCTGGACTGGTGATTCGTTTCACATATGATAATTTACATGTTTCAATGCCATTCTCCCATATCATCCCACCCTCGCCTTAGTAATTTTTAAAATATAGACATTCCTCACTACTTGAATTTTCATTATTGAAACTTTCAATATTGAAATTCAAGGACTAGAAAGACCACTGAAAAGGTCTCTAAACATTGTCATCCCAATAACAATTGACATTCCAAGGGCCAGGATCTATCATTGGCTGAAGTTTTAATTAATTGAACATAAAACAAATGGAACATAAAAAGAATAATGATTGTAGCTAATTAAAACATTTGATTCTATGTTTTAATTGATTCATGAAAATCTATTACTCCACAAGGATACCAAAAAAGAGAAAGCAAGAAAAATATTTATTCCTCACCATTTATTTATTAAGCCAACTCCTCACTTAGAAGTTGTAAATAAAAAAGCAAAGAATTCAACATTTAACTTGCCTTTCCAACAGAATTGTATTTCAAGGTACTAAATAGTCCCAACTGATGAAAAACAGCTCTGTTTTATCAAATGTCAGCTAATGCAGAAGCAATGACAGAATTAGGAAAATGGTATTTGACAAACCCTAGTGAAGTTACTGATTCAGGCAAGAATTACTAAAGTGTTAAAGGCATTAGGAGAATGGATGATAAGAAAATGAACATTCATATTACTACCTGTCACAAGATCAGCCTGTTAACCTAGTGATCAAAGTTAGCATCACTAGAAGTGATGTGAACAAGAATTATGTATTTCCTCACATTGCACAGTACAAAACACCTATCATCCATGATAAATTCTTGCCAAAAACATTCAGTTTGTACCTCAGTCCAGTCTTTATATCTAATTTCCAGTTTCTGGGAAATACAAAGGTAGAAAAACAAGCTGAACATACTCCAAAGAAGCAATCAGACAAGTCCAAAGATAAGGTATTTTATAACAAAAAGACAAGGCAATATCTGATTAAAGGACTGTTTGTTTTAGATTACAATAAATTTTAAGGAACATAATAATCAGATGCAGTGCATGATTCCAGATTATATCCTAGTTTGAATAAACAAGATATAAATCACAATTTAGGGACAACTGGGTTAATTTAAATATGGACTAGGTATTAGGCATTACTAAGGATTTATTAACATTAATTTTGTTAGTGATCATATTGTTTTGGCTACATAAGAAAAAATTTTTCTATTTTACAGCTGTATATAAAGGATTTAGAGAGAAAATATCATGCTGTTTGTAATTTACTTGAAAATACTTCAACTTAGGACTTCTCTGGTGGCTCAGTGGTGAAGAATCCACCTGCCAATGCAGGGGACATGGGTTTGATCCCTGGTTGAGGAAGATCCCACATACCTCAGGACAACTACTGAGCCCACATGTCACAACTACTGAAACCTATGCTCAGCAATGAGAAGCCCACACACCACAACTAAAGAGTGGCCCACACTCACCACAACAACAGAAAAGCCCGTGCACCAACGAACACCCAGCACAGCCAAATAAATGAATAAATTTATTTAAGAAAAGAAGAAAAAAATACTTTAGCATAAAAAAGGTAAAATGGGAACTTCCTAGACTGATCCAGCAGTTAAGACTCACACTTCCACTGCAGGTAGCACAGCTTCAATCCCTGGTTGGGGAACTAAGATCCTGCATGCTGCATGATGTAGCCAAAAAGTATTAAAAAAATTTTTTTTTAATTTTTGTTTAAGTAAAATGAATTTAAAGGAAAAAAATTTAATCTATACTAAAAGAGACAAAAGACACTGCATACTGAGATTTTGCCAGATACAATACAAATCATGTCAAAATGACACAATTTTGACCTTAAATCGAACTTCACTAAATGAACTCACCATTTAAAAAATACAATTGTTAAATGCTATAATAAGGTAAAGTTCACATACAACTATCTGAATTTAAAGAGTTACTACAGACAGAGCCTACCAAGGTTTAGGATCACAGGGTTTGAATTCCTCAGTGCTCTGGAGGGACAGGAGTGAGAATGCGGAGTCTGGTCTGGGGCACACATAGGCTGTTGCTCCAACCTCCCTGGGGCAGGAGTTGGTTCTGACCTAACCCAGACCTTGCAAGATTTTCTAGACCATTGCAAAAGAAATGGAACTTCCTGTAACCACTCCATCTACACACACACACATACCCCCCCCAACACACACACACGCTTCACATTCATACCTCAGGTTCCGAAATGCAAGTTTCTCAAATCTACACCTTATGCACACTTCCCAATGTCCACAATCTTCACCATATATGGTCTTAAAATACAGGCTACTCTAATATAAAGACTATTAACCATTCAGTAAAATAAGCAGTTTATATGGGGCAGGTATATAATAATGATATCCATGTGCTAAAAAAAAAAAACAAACCCTCCTATGACATATCTTGAAGCGGGCACAGCAACATATTCCAGTGTTCTTGCCTGGAGAATCACCTGGACAGAGGAGCCTGATAGGGTTCATAGGTTCGCAGAGAGTCAGACTTGACTGAAGCAACTTAGCAAGCACACATGACATACATTAACTCACTCAATCACTTATTCAACAAGCATCAATTGAATGGGCCAAGTATTTGTTCTAGGCCAAGGAGTAAACTAAGCAACCGGATAAAGAAGTGACTGAGCCACAGCTCCTTAATTTAACTCAAACTAATTCAACTACACTCACCAAGCCTCAAAGTAAAAAAGAGCAAGAGAAACAGACAAACAGTGAAGGAAAGACAGATAAGTGATTACACTTGCTTCCGTTCAAATTAATATAGTGTTTCTCCATGTAAGGTCCCTAGATACCAGCATCAGCTTCATCGGGGAACTTGTTAAAAATACAAATTCTCTGGCCTACTTGTTAAAAATGCAAATTCCCAGGCCTACTGAATTAGAAACTGTGGGGAGCAGAACCCAGTAACCTGTGTTTTAACAAGGCCTCTGAGTAATTCTGGGGCTTCCTAGAATTAAAGAACCCGCCTGCCAATGCAGGTAGATAAGAGACACAAGTTCAATCTCTGGGTCAGGAAGATCCCCTGTAGGAGGGCATGGCAACCCACTCCAGTATTCTTGCTTGGAGAATCCCCTGGACAGGAGCCTGGCAGGCTGCAGTCTTTAGGGTCACACAGAGTCGGACATGACTGAAGCAACTTAGCACACATGCACACCAAGTAATTCTGATGTACAGCTAACGTTCTGAGAACAAATGAGTTAAGCCCCTAAATAAGACATGAATCTGCTCTTCCTTCTCTTGATCGAAGTTTCACAATACTTCTAATATGTAAGCCTCTCACTATGCTGAGACCTGGGTTCAATCCCTGGGTGGGGAAGATCCCTTGGGAGAAGGGAATGGCAGCCCACTCCAGCATTCTTGCCTGGAGAATCGCCATGGATAGAGGAGCCTGGCAGGCTACAGTCCATGAGGTTGCAAAAAGCCAGACACGACTGAGTGACTAACACATAAACACACACACACACACACACACACACAATGCTGAATGAGACTCTGATGCTCAAAGATATGAACTACCACCCACCATGGCTCCCTGGTGGCTCAGATGGTAAAGCGTCTGCCTACATTGCAGCAGACCCGGGTTCGATCCCTGGGTGGGGAAGATCCTCTGGAGAAGGAAATGGCAACCCACTCCAGTACTCTTGCCTGGAAAATCCCATGGGAGGAGCCTGGTAGGCTACAGTCCATGGGGTCGCAAAGAGTCAGACACGACTCAGCGACTATACTTCACTACTTCACGGCCCCTAAATACAAGCCAACTGCATCATTTGAAGCTCAACAGGAAAAACCATGATCTGTTTCAACAAAGGAAGAAAGACTAGCTGTGCTGGAGTTAAAGAAAGGAAGTACATGGCTCTCTAACAAGATGACTTCCCCCTGGTATTCTCAAAGATAATTCTGCCACAGTGATTTTCAATTCACCCACTGACTTTAGAGCCGAACTTTGAAAAAAGGCTTATATCTAGAATTACAAGAGCCACAAGAACTTTAGAGAAAGCCAAACTTCCTTATATGGCCACTCTCAGGGCACTCCTGCTCCTAGCAATCCCTAATTGTTTAATTTGGGAGAAAAGGGGTGGAACTCCGGTATGACAGAAAGAAAGCAGATTCAGGAGTTAACAGATGTGAACTTGAATGTTACTGTGAGGTCTCAGGCAAGCCACTTAACCTGTATGAGTCCCATTTTCATCCTATATAAAATAAAGATAATAACACACAACTCAAAGGATTACTGTGAAGATTAAACATACCTCAAGTACCAGGAAGAGTCCCTAATGTAAAATGCATGCTCAATGAATGTTAGCTCTCCACTCTACCCCATCTACACACCAGTCCCAAGAATGGGGTACCAAGATGAGGTAAGTGAGGTGGAGAGTAACAAAGCTCTTCACAGAATTATAGGACATCCCACTAGAATGTCAAAATCTCCTATTTCTTGAGT